CATATTGACTAGCACTGGAACATTCTGAAATGGAATTAATACAGAAATAATGCCTGATGTGACAGCGGTAACCAAAGTAGTCTCAGTAATATATAAGTATATATGTATAATATCTATAATATATATAATATAATACAATCTGCCACCAGCGATTGGGAGCGGAGAGTATGGGGAACTAGGAGGTACCAGACAGGTGGATTAGGCGTCGTGGAATCACGGCGAGTGCAACCGCCGCACCAAACACCGCACAATCGCCTAATTCTGTGCTTTAGCAGTCGTGCAGTGCGGCTGCACAGGTTCACGATGCCTAATCGAGCTGTTTGCTACTCTCCTACTTCCCCATACTTCCTACTCCTGGCGAATGCTGGTTGAGCTGGCAGACTCTGCTGCAAAGCATGAAGGTTGAATGAATGAAGGCGTTATTGATGCATACGTCCCTTGCCGCCAAAGCGCCCTACTGCGTCATGCATCCAGTGCCTCAGAAGCCAAATAGACAGCAAGACAGGACATAAAAACTGACAAAAATAAGGATGGACAGACAGACACACGGTCAGGCATACGCGCACAAAAAAGACAGAATGACACACACCGCCAGACAGACACACGCAGAGGACAGACAGACATAACTCCTAATCCCTGATATGCTAGTCAGTGAACAAAGTGTGCAAAAATACTTTTCTCGATGGCTACCGGTGATTTTGATGGCAGTGAGTCGTTCACGTTTGGATACGACTCTGCCATCAAAATCACCGATAACCTGAATGGATACGGAACCTCTTCCAGGTCGTCTGTCACTCACAGCTTAGTTGGAGTTCTTTAAGTGCGATTAGCGACTATGATATATCTCGTGCAACTTGGTTGTCAGTTAGGAAAAATTGAAAGATTCACAGGATAACCAATCTTACGGCTATTGCTTCAAATGAAGCACACGGCCACGCCTAATGCGTATCAGGAACGTGGAGTGCACGTAACAGATTATACATCATAGGGTAGCATGGTAAATGCAAAAATTGAATCGTCAGAGAAGCTATTCATATTGTTGTACGGGAAATAGGTTGATCCACCAAATGTCATAAAGCACGTTGACAAAACGGTCCATCGTTCATGCAAAATTTTAGTTGAGGAAAAAAGCGCCACCATTTGTGAGCGTATATGAATGACCAATAGTTTAATGAGAAGAAAAATATGAGTTTGAGCTCACCAAGACCACTCCAATCGGGTTAGACGCACTGACTGTCCAAATCGGTTTCATGTGAGTTTCCTCGTCAAAAAGTGACCTCTTTTTGAACTCATCAAATGGACCAACTTGTATCAAACGAGATTTGGTGGTACCGTTTGCAGCAAACATCGTTTCAATTATCGGCTGGAATGTGACCTGAAATTTCGTTGGGTTTATGTTGAGTGGGTGCCTCTTGTTATTCTCACATTATGTAATGACTTTGAACTTGCTTTACTGATATCACGTTACCACACCGAATTATCAATTATTATTACCCTGGGTTTAGAGTAAAATGTAGTCCTTTTAGCTGCGGATGATGATGCCTGTCAGGGGTCAGCTAGGTTTGACGCTGCGTCAACCCGCTTTTCTTTTTTTCTTTTAGCAAGCGACAAGACTGCATCGTATCGTTCGTATCAGTCGTTGCCCACCAGATTGGCACTTACACCCTTCAGACGGTGGCGCGCCAAACCCAGCTCACTGACACGCCCTGTCATCTGTAGCGAACAAGAATGAGCAAGATGGAATGGTTACTTTGGTTTGTCTCAACCTTCTTTCTCCGCTGGTGTATGGCCTGAACAGTGAGCTAAAAGATCCACAAATCTTTCATTCCTCAAGGCAAGCGAAGCTGATATCAGTTAATGGTTCCGAGAAGCTGGGATACCTGGAAAACCATGGGGGAGTGTCATCGGGGTTGGCTTTGGCGCAGCGCCACCTGGTCCTATTCAAGCTAGGCAAGCAATAGCAACTATAGAAGAACGGGCGGTCTACCTGCTGCCCAGCGTCCGCAGTAAGCAGGTATCTCTTCAAGTTAGTTCATTACTCTAAATGGAAGTCGAATACAGAAGCATCTCAGAATTGAATGACGTGCTACTTTTTGCCATCAGTTTGATATTATAATTTACTATGAAGTAGCATTCTTCAGTTTATGAAAGTAAAAGTTACTTACCACTTCATGACCAGCATCAACGAGCACGTCAGCTATTTTACCCATAAAGTTCATATGACTATAGCCGAATTTGGGATTTATAACAAGTATTTTGTAGGATTCACATAGACATAATAACGTAGATAAGTACAATAAAATCATCTGAAAATCGAACTTGCTCTGTTAATAACATATAACATCAAATCATGAGCGAACTGCTTGAACAAGTTATGCCCTCCCTTGAGAAGGTCCTATGCCAGATTATGGTCCTTACTCAGGAATACTAGCTCAAAATAAATACTGGTGCTTGCACACAACTCAACTCGTGGAGAACGAATTCAACCGGGACCCCACCCCAGGCGACGAAAAGTCGGAAAAGGAGGAAAGGTCATTGCAACCTTCAATTTCTTTTGTTTGCTGACTACTTATGCTATTCGCAGTAACAACTCAACGACGATGTCGGGCCAATCAGTTCAGGGTGCGCCCCATGCGCGAGGCGAGTTAAGCAATGCGAAACAATTAATACGTACCGTTCGAACCACTCAGGTTGCCTGGGACAAGTTTCACTTCAACTTTCCTGCATGGTCGGGCCGCATAGCCCTGTAACGCAAACAAATAGATGACGAGGGTGGCTGCCAAAGCGTTGAAAGGTGCAAAGAACAGGCAGCGAGCCAGGAAACGATGTTTCTCAAGGAGAGGGTACTTCAGGGTGAATGCGTGCTTGAAAAGCTAAAATGTGTGAGGTGGCAGTCATAGCCATAGGCTGAAAATAAATGTCATATTTGTGACTAGAGTACAGAGCAACCTCATGCAAACTTGCACCAATTTTGGTGAGAAAAATGGGGCCGAATTAGCGCCTATTGATGCCAGATTGCGCCAGCCTCAAAAGCGAATGTCATATCCGTAATCAGCACACCGATTATTACCTGCAGAGTTCCACCAGAAAAATAATTCGTGTTTTTGGATTAGATATACTTTGATAGTGCGGTAATTTCGGACCAAGAACTACTGCTGGTATGATTAGTCGTAATTCAAGGACATCAAACATTAAGCGCATTTGCGCCAAACATACGCGTACGAGGGGAGAGTGGGCTTCGGATAAGGGTCTACTGACACATGAAGATGAGGTACTGTGTTAAAGGTCAGAAGACGAAACGCGTCGGTTGACTGTGTGAAATAAATGAAAAATAGTTTGGAGGACTTAGGCTTCATAATTATGATCTTCGAGTGATCATCAGTGAGCGCGACAGCCTGGCGGCAGGCACACGCGACACTGAACTAGGGATCGGGTACAAGGTTGCGTGGACTTGACTGTACATATGCACTGCCGCACGGCAACAAACTCCACCTCTGCCAGAGCAGTGAAAACAGAAAATATAAACAAGCAAAGACATAGGCAATACAAAAGAGTGCATCCATGCGTCGAAGCCTCATAAGACACAATGCTATCAAGGATTCGGGACTGATGGAAGAGTTGCAGAATTCAATAACTAGCAGCAGTGCTCACTTGACTATCACCTTAACGAGAGAAAGAATCGCGAACCCTAGATTTGAACGAAGAAAGGGAAGGGTGGGGCAGCAATGTAGACTGCGTTCTCAGCATACATAGAATAGATGAAGCTTTCGCCTTCTAGGTGCGCGTAAGCGTTCAAATTCCACTCAGAGTCAGTGGTTTCTTGAGAGCCACATGGACATACAGGGGGCCGAATAAAAGACACTTTTCTTCCTAGACTTTCAAGGCGATATAAGTTACACTTTATCAGAATTTGATTGCATTTTCACCAACACAGTCAACAACATTGCTCACAATCACGAAACTCCGCCACAGCCTTCTGGACGAACGCCATCGAGAGATTCTGCCACGCGACCGTGATTCGGTGCCTGAGTTCAGCGAGATCGTTGATTTCTCCGCCACTGTAGACCACCTGGAACTCCTCCCGGACCCGGTAATCGAGGGGTTTGGGTCAGGTGACACACTTGGATATTCCGTCTTCTTCAGGTTCTCAACGCCCTTCGATTCCAAGTAGGCGAGAGTTTTTCCAACGTCCTTCGATTCCATGTGGTGACACTCAATCCTGTAGCAGTTCGAAGTTCCGATGATACAGGCGACGACATGAAGGCAGGGTATCTCTCGAGTTGGTCGATGTAACGTCAGCGTTCACTTTCAGCCCGGGTCCACGAAGAAAATATCGGTCTTCCCATTCCAGGAACTTCCGGTCCATACCATCAACCCGCGCCTTGGCGACTGCGGTGAAGATGATATCCTGGACCGTAGCGACGTTGTCGGAGCTGCTCGATGCTGGGTTCTCTAGATCAAGTACCGGTCGACAGGTAGCTGTCCATGGGTTACTGGATACAGAAACTTTCGCAGCTGCTCGGAGGTGACTTGATGACTTCATATTTCGGTGTACATGAAGGTGATGGACGAGAGCCTGCTCCTGCTTATCGAGGAACATCTTGGGTATCTTCCGCCCTGGTACTTGTATCCACATCTTCTATCTGGGCTGCGTAAACTTTACTGTGACTCGGCCAAAGTGTCTTTTTTAATGCCCTCTTTGTATAGCCTACACATTCATCTGTGAGGGTCTAGGCGATTTACAAGCCAGTGCATCTAGTCCAAGGCCATGCTGATACCGATTTACCATTCCCGCAGTGATCTGGCACGTTCGGTCTGGAATCAGCAGACCATTGCTCTGTGAAAACAAATTTTCTTATTTTGAGAGAACACTACTTTCACCGCGTATTTTCCCAAAATTTCGCTGAAGAGCAAAGGGGCGTCCTTTTGGTCATCCTCTCACTTACTATTAGTGCTAGAGCGCCAAATTTTCTGCAGCTCGAATTCGCCAGAAGCCAACTTCTGTGCTTGAAATATGTGCTTTGCCATCGGTTCACAAAATCTCGGAACGGGAGTGAGCGCGTGCATTCGTATCAAGACACGCGATGTTCAATATGCTGAACAGTTACTGTCGCCAGGAACAGGTATACTGCAATAATCTCGCTTGTCTTTCGGTAAATTGTTGATAGTAATGCGCTACAAAGGCCGTAAATACTCACGCCCTCTCCGTTGTTTTCTGTTTAGTTTTCGTTTCGCTGTTCTGTGACCGCTGCGTAGTTGTCACCATGTGTATGCAATGCTGACAATGATGCGCACACAATCTTGTACCCCGTCACTAGGGCGGTCTCGCGCATTCTGACTAGTTTGTTAGAACATTGCGAAACTCAATGCTTGAATTAAGCAGTTGGCACGATGGTTTCCTACTTTAGCGCTAAAAATCCATAGTTAGGCTGTATGTGGAAAATGCGAAAGAAGCATGGAGTGACGAAAATTCAAAATATCTTTGCGAAACGAAAAAAGCCCTAGCCGTTTCCAGTGACTTGAAAATCGGATTCCGGACGAGCATTTCCCCGTGGGCAGATTGCCTATGCACCGCGCTAACCGAGGAATGGTGCTAGCATATGGGGTTACCCATAGTATGCATGCAGGCATCACGGCCGCTTCATACCAATCCCTTCGCTTCATAATTTGCTTAGCAAATGAATGAATACGAGCGTCAGGAACGGTCGTCCATTTGTGGGCGGGCGGGCGTGGCGGGCGTTTGGGACGTAATGTTGTGGCTTGATAGGGCCCTTATAAGGGCACCTTCCCTCGCGAAAGCCGCTATGCAGTGCCTCCCAGGGTCGTGGAATTCCATCCTGCCAGGAGCATTGATCCTAGTCGTCTTGGGATTTATCGTGGCGCAGCTGCCCTTTAATGTCAGAACCAGAGCTTTGTGGATAAATACGTGACAGGGGGGGGGGGGGGGGGGGGGGGGCTTGGTGCATAGATCACTGCATTCACTGTATTTCTGCACACAAAATACACAGACGCAATTAGAAATTTTAAACCAAAAATGGCTCTTGTTCTTACGAAGTTCTTGTCCAACAGGCCGACATTCGTACTGCCTCGCTTATAGCTTGAAATTCATTGAGATTGGGTAGTGCGTGGCTGCATCGCTCTGCACTCAAACTGCAAGAGTCTATGCCTTACCTTGTGAGCTACTTTTCATCTTGACACAATTGTTGTCGTGTCTCTGTCCAACACAGACCAAGATGACAGTTGTCTCAGACTGGAAATTCCACACGAGTAACCAGTTCCGTGCCAAATGTTTAATGCCACGTCGCTACCTCTCAGGCTCAGGGACAGAGGAGTGCAGATTGCTCGCGGATTTGAAAGGTTTACTTGTGGGCAGACTGCGTCATATTGGTTTATAACCATCTGTTCTTTTCTTTCCCCTATACGTTCACAGTGTCCTCAACCATTGCTGCACACATGTATCTGAGCTGTTTCTTGAGAATTATTAAACGGGAAATATCGAAAAAAGTCAACAACCGAAACAAAATTTTCTCGCAGCTCGGAAAAATCATTTTCGAAGCAAACATGGCGTCTTCCTCCTACTAGCGATGCCGTAGCCAAACGATTACAAGTGTGTTCTGCCAAGCATATCTTCACAGTCTATTATTCACTCACATACACGTCGCAACCCAGACAAAATACCTGAGTCGAAAATCATGGTTGCACCTTTCCGCCCTGCTATGGACTTCAGCATGTATCACGGAAAGCATAATACAAGGAAGTGCGAAACCTATGAGCATGTTTTTTTCGCTGCGGATTATGGGGCGTGTAATTGAGGCTGAGTTTGGCCCGCCGCCAGCCCGTTCGCCATCTTGATGCGGCACAGCGACAGCAACCGGTGGAAAACTGATACTGATACGAACGATATGATCCAGTCTTGTCGCTTGTCGAAAGAGAAAAACGGTATGGCGGTGTGCCAAACCCACTAGCCTTGACATGCCCTATCGTTCGCAGCGAACATCGTAGTTTCCAAACGCTTGTGCTTTCTTTACATACTAAACAATTCGTGGAGCGAAATAAGTGTTATCATGGCGATAACCCTCTCTAAAACGTGTAACACTCCCCCAGATCGCTCGCTACAATTGGAAGTCAGTACAAAACACACGGGAATCAACTCTGGAGCTTTTTCTCCCAAGAATGAGAGTAGATGGATGGAGTAATTTATTGAAATTCTGCTAGGGAGCTTGGGTAGAGCAGCGGGCACTCCACCTACGCCACATTAGGTCGTAAGAGCAATGGCATATGAGCCAGAACTGGGAGGGTGCAGGTAACTAGCGCCTGTGACTATGGTTGGTCGTGCTGGTGGTGGTTTTCTTCTGCCGGATGCTTTCCTTGTGGGCGGTTCTATGAAAAAACCATTCAGCTTACAACTTTTTAGCTTCACTACAACGCTTTCCCTCGCAGCAGAAGTGGTGCACTTCCACAGCAGATGATCTGTACATTTCGCAAATGGAAGGAATGGAATTAGGGTGCCTCTTTAAATCCACAGTTTTGCTGTTGAACTTATTAAGTTGGGTCATAAACTGAGCTGGAGTTGAATCAGGTACCGGGTTCTCAAGCTATGGAACACGGTATGATTCTTTTCCGAAATGCGATTGTTTCTGCAAAGTTATTAATGTTAGACACACTTCATGCAACCAGTGTCATCCCAATAGGCGCTAAGAGATAACTGGTTCTGCGTACAAGTTTTGCCTGTTGTTCTGCTAAAGAATAAACACATTTTATTGATCTTTTGTAAGTGGTCACTGGTTTACCAGATTATTGCGTTAAGGGAAAAATTACTCAAGACTGGTCGTGCACTTGTGTCTGACTGGGGTCTATAGTGTCTTTTTCTATTGAATATACAGCTATCCGTGACCGCATTGTGCTGAACTTCTCCTCTTTGTTTTCTTTGGTCGAATGCTGTTTGTTTTCATGTGAATGCTGAAGAATTCTGCTTACCCTATCACCTGTATCATCCTGTGCTCCCGTTGATCATCGAGTTCCTCAAGCGGGCACCAGTAACGTCTCCATTCGTCCCTGCAACGTGCAAGAGTTGCTGGACTCTCTCTGCTCGAGGACATCTCTCTGCTCGAGGGACACGATGAACTTCATACCATTCGTTCAGAGCTTTCACGAAGAAGTCTGACCATCGCATAGGCGGTCGTCCAGGCGTTCGCTTATGACATCCGTGGGATCCAGTCGCGTGATCTGCTTACCCGCTATAGTTGAGCGGATACGCCCTCGATTTGCTTTCATTTATCTCAGTTCCATTGTAGACAGGTCTTGTTGGCAAAGCGATGACTACGGTTGGTCCCAAAAGGCCACATCCTACCGGAAGCTAAAAGCGTGCAGCCACGCTGAAATGAAGTGCCCGGTGACGGACTCCTCATCTCTGGATATGGAATGTACATCAGGATTACAGCGCTTGTGTAAGGTCGTTCGTTACCTTGGCGAGAAGACTGCTTCCAAACGGAAATTTTTCAAATTCTGATTTTTTATCTAATAGTTTTTGAATGAGCTTTCTTGGAACATCAAGTTGCGTTTACATTTCACTTCACTTCCTACGCATCCCATTCCGCCTTGAGTTGGTTTTAAATTGATTTCAGCTTCAACGCTCTAAGGAAGAGAGAAATTATTGTAAAACATGACGATGACCTTTCACGGTCCCCGTTCTTGTCAATTAGCATCTGCTACTGACCAAAGAACGCTAGAACCGAATAGTTTTCTTGGCTGAAGGTCAAATCAAAGCGCACAGGGTCGACCCAGTTTTTTTTCGTTGAGCAGAGATCAGCCGTAAACCATGGAGAACGCCGTTCTTCGGGAATCTCAGTCGTTGAGAAATGGTGTAGCCGCTGACATTCGTGAATCTTTTCTTCTTTTTCTGACTCCCTAATCGGCTTGTAATGTTATGGCCAATAGTCTCATTCTCGAGACGCACTAACCGACATTTGATGGTCTCCTTTCGGGAACCTTCTTACAAAATACATAGATGGGTTCTCGAAGTTCCTCCCAAACCTCCTCAAAAGAACTCTCAGAAAGTGTCTCTCAGAAAAGGTTATAATAATCCTGTAAAAACCCCTTCCCTATCATCATATATTTTTTGATGGAAATTTTTTCTGTAGGATCAGTAATACTGTTCCAAAACCAAAATGAGTCATTAAGTTAACGATGCGCCTTATCAAACAGCGTCATTCAGTTCCGACGCCTTTAGTTTTTAGAAGCCTTTTATTTCACAAAATATTTTTGGTTCCAGCAGTGTTCAGTTGTAGTAGTTAATGAATCTTGAACGCGCTCTTCCATAGGGTGTCTCGAGAGGAATACCATCAGTTAGCGCTCTTTTTGCAACACCTCAGCAGGAGGTCGAACTCTAGTGACATCAACAAGATGACTCATCGGAAAGATCAAGTGGCCAAAGGTTAGACGCAATGTCAGCGCTGTCATTGAGGAAGTGTTTACCGAGACCGCTAGGGGTTGCCGTATGGTCTTTCACTGAACACGTGACAAGTGAGGTTTACCTGTACCACCTGATTGAAAGCACTTGACCCAACGTCTTTCATTAAATGAGGAGCTATTTGGATGCCAGAGCTCAAAAACATGACGCTTTCCGAAGCCCCCCCCCGTCATTAGACCAATTTCAGCGCTCCTAATATATTTTGCGTACTCTAGGCAGGTTTTTTGCAACTTGCAGCTCCTGAGAGCACATTTAGCACTCGACTGGTAAGCTAGAAATCCATAATGTTGCGATTCTACCCTCATAATTTCCTCTTCTGATACGACCCTCATTCTCCGATCTTCCCACGCTACCTACCATATTCCATTCCGAAGTTTCGCCATATTCTTACGACTATTTCGGAGTTTTATGGATGAAAATTTCTCGAGTTTTTCTCCAAAATAATGCGGTGGGGGGGGGGTACAGCGTATCGTCGTCTCTCCGACTCCTGCGTCGCATCTCTGGTTTCTCAGCTGGCCTGAAGACGGAGTATCCCTACTAAGCCGCCCCCTTACCTGACACGGGTCAAAGATGGTGCCTCGCCAGGTAAGGAATTTTATCTTAAGCTACCGCAAGAACTTAGGTAGGTGTTTAATGGTTAAAATAAATGCTTAACCATCTTTACGTTCGTTTCTCGCCTAGTTATTTAACAGGGCACAGCATTCGATGGGGTATTTGGTGGAGTCTGGGTACGACCCCGCCCCACCTGTTTGACGTTACATACTTCCTGAAATTAGATATAAACAATTAGATATAAAAAATAGATATAAACAGTCCTACCTAAGTTGAGTTGATTTACTTATGTGCAAGCGTTTGTAATCAAAAACAGGATGAGTAGCATAAACACAGCATAAATGCGAGTTAAATGAGACTATGACTAAAACGAAAAAACAAAAAAGGAATGCGTAAAAATGCGAATTAACCGAAGTGTGGATGTACGTAGGCAGAGATGGTAATGTAATTGCAGCCGTGACTGGAGATTATTCGTCAATTTTAGCACTGGAGCGCGAACTTTCAGCAAAGTGGGGTGTGTCTTTGAAGGACCATAACTTCCTCAAAAGCGGACCTGTGGGGAAGAGGAGACCGTATTCGTGTAGAGGAAGGTTTGCACTTCCTAAAAGTTCTGAAGAATTTTATGAGGTCGCAAAAATCACAGAGAAATCTGCCATAAGGATTCGTTGGGGAGTGATTTCAACTGAACAGGTTTGAATCAATATATTTTTTTTGTAACTCAACATTTCACAAATCTGAGAATGGTTTCGAGTGTTTGAAGATTTTCTCTTTCTAAAAACTCTTGAGCTGTTTCTGAAGTTCTCGGGATTCATGAGATCTCGCTATGGGGATTTCTTGGGGAACACTCCCAGCTGCGCGAAAAACCCGTTTCCTGTGTACCGTTTCAAGTGAGCGTGTTCGAATAACCAGGAATGCATGAAAAACGTATCCTCTGGTGGAGCAGGAGCAGAATATGGTTCGTTTAGCGCCGATCACGCTGACTTTGGATGCGCCGCGCCCTGAGGTCCGCGCAGAGGTGAAGGGATGGTGCAATTTGTGCGTAATGTCTGTCCACGCGAGCAAATGTGTCTATAGGATTCAGGGAGATCCATGGCGAACCTGTGCACTTGTTTACAGTGTTTTCCCTTGCGATGATGGATGATGGAGCGTGTCTGTGTCGACGCCGCCAGATGTGTGCTCCGCCAATTGCTGTCTCCGATAAAGGAGACCAACTGCTGGAAAACGTCTGGTACGAACGATATGGTAGTCCTGTCGTTTGTTGAAAAAAGAGGTTGGCTCAGCGCCAAGCGTAATCGCGGACACGCCCCATCATCCGCAACGAACCAGAGTATGAGTTGTACTGTTCAGTCATCAACGGACTTACGAGATAATGTCGACTTATTATAATAATAATTTCAGTTATTTCGGATTAATTGATGGTTGAAAGTTTTCTACTATTTCTTTTACATATCCGAGTTCTCTACAAAGCGAGTTCCGCTACTCTGGACTCAGCACACTGAGACCTTTGCGCTGCTCGATACTGGCTACCGCCCTCATTACGACCCCCCTCTCCTGGCGGCCAAATACGACCCCCCCTATGGGGATTCCTCAACCAATGATGTGCCCTGGTTTTAAAACGCACTCAACCACCAACACATAGCGCACGTGACATTTATACTGACCCTCCCCCTGCCCCTTACTATACGGCTCCATCGTGCGACGCAGCTAAATGAGGTCTTTGCCTTTCCTTTTTGACCAGATTTGGAACATAGTCATCTTTCCGAGTTTTTTTCGTGTGTCCGCATTTTGCTTTCATGTGTAATTCCATTGCCAGCACAGAAAACATGAAGCAGTGAGCAGTGATATTTGTCCCCTGTTGACCTAGGGCAGTCAATCCGCATCACTCGCCTTCGATCAGCTCCTGACTCACGGGTCTTGCACTAACACTGGGCCCAGGCTTGCTGAGAGTTGGTTACAAACGAGGCCCCCTTTCCTTATTTATTTGTGTGAAGCACTCTTTAGGACCTGGTCACTTTCCTGAAAACATCCTCATAACTGTTTATTTACAAAGTTATTCGATCATTATTTGTTCACCCTAGAAATATGCTGTTGGATTTGTCATTATTTTTCTCTTAACGTACATATCACTTTTCAGATGATTTTGATATTCTTATCCATGCTATTATGTTTGTGTGACTCGTACAAAATACTCGTTATGAATCCGAAATACGCCTATAGCCACATGAATTTCATGGGTAAAATAGCCGACACGCTCGTTGATGCTGGTCATGACGTGGTGAGTGGATTTTCCTTTGATTAAACATACTGAATGATAGTTCCCAAAAGGTTAGGAAAACTCAAGTAATGATGTGTCCAGATGAGGTGGTGGGGAGGGTGTTGGCAATCATGAACCGGTACAGGGTACAGCATCGGGATGGGAGAAATGGCAATGTTAGACCCCCTACTCCTCAGCGACCACCTGGCATACTCTGAACAATAAAGTTACAGCTACTCCGGGGAAGTGTACTTCGGTAAAAATAAAAGGAGTAAAAAGTAAAAAACTTTCCGTACAACCTATTATGAACGCGCACACCAACTTCTGAGCTGGTCCACGCCTACAGCAACTTCTTTCGTGTTGACCTGAGGAGTCCACATCGTGCCCTGTTTCAAGACAATTGTACACTCAGGGATCCCATGTGCGAGGCGAAAGGGTCCGCAACTGCACTAGCGAACCATTTTCTGAGCACAGAAAAGCACGGAACTGTAGGGTGAAACCCGAGTGCTATCTCCCCACTCCATCCTTTTTGAATTTTCAGCACTTGCGTTAATTCCGAGGTCCCACAGCGGAACACGTACTTTGCGGTGGAGAACAAGCAAAAGTGAGGGGACGCAGACAAGTAGCGCGTGTGGCTATGGTTAGGCGTTGTCATCATGGGTCGCTGCAGTAACTCCAGAATGGAGTATGGTGGTAGCACTCGCTGGTGCCGTCCAGCTCACTTCCCGCGCACTTTTAAGCGGAGAAAGTGGCCCGCTACTGGGGATGCAGACGGATTCTCCACACCCGCAGCAAGAACCACGACCCACGGAGGAGAAAGCGCACTTCGTCTCTGAGGAGCACAACAATTTTCGGAAAATTCCAACTGCCTCGGATTTTTTATCATTATTACTCAGAGCACTGAAGCAGCTTCGACGCCCGAGGGACAGGTCAAAACGGGCGGGTTCCTATGCCTTGATGCTGCCATGCTATTAACTCGAACCTGTCTCGCGAGGGCAGAGTAAGAGGGAGAGTATGGCCCATAAGGCAAGAGATCTCCGCCCATTTTGACACCTATCCTGAACCTTGAAGCTGCTCCAATGTTCTGAGTAATGTTGTGATTTTTCAGGTCACATTCCAGCCCATAGTTGAACCTGCACATGTTGGGAATGGAACCACCAGATCACGGTTAATCCAAACCGGTCCATATGATGAACTGACAGAAGAGATGTCTATGCTCCGCGATGGAGACCATATGAAACCCTTGTGGACAGCCAGTGTGTCTAACCCAATTGGAGTTATTGCAGTGAGTCAAACCTCCCACTCCAGAATTGGTGGTGATAACGGGAACTTTTCACTTATTTTCTGATCTTACGGCAACGATGATTCCGAGTATTTTAGTGGGGACTATGCTGAAGATCACTAATAAGGGATTGAAGCTATTTCAGTGTTATTACTCAAGTTTTTGCTCTCACCTCAGTTGGTAAAGTCCATCATTCCCATTCCAGTTCGTGCCGATGCTTTCCAGTATGTCGGCCAAGACTTTATCTCGTTAGTGAAGCTTCTAAAGCTACAGTTTAAGCGGAACTGTTGAGTCACATCATTCAGATGTTCTCGACAATAAAGAGGTTCTACAGCAATTAAAAGCGGAAAAGTTCGACGTCGCTATAGCGGAACTGTTTGACTTCATCGGGGTAGGTCAGTGTTTGTTATTTTCTAAATGTTCTTCTGAACGCTGAAAAAGTCAACCCGACTTGAGTATTCCTAACTGTGCACTTTCTATAAATTTCTTCACTACTGTCTTGATTGTGGCTTTACAGAGACCCAAAGGCAAAAAGTCGCGTAATACGCACTAGCGAAAAAGCAGTTTGTCCACTCTATCAGTTAACATTAACAGTCGAGTTCGCTGGACCGTAGCGTCGCGATTTGAAGAGGATTAACCTTGTGAAAACTGCCAAAGATAGGCCAAGAATATGCGCAACTAATGGTTCACTGTACTGTTCCTAATTTTTGGTCGATCGTCAGAACATTCTACTGCTCTAACTTGTACAGAAAAGGTCCAAATTATTCGGAAATCAGATTAGAGTTGGCCCTGTCCATTGACAAATCTCGTGTTATGATTTTCATCTGTCGAGGCGTCATACTTACAATCCGATTGGAGGATTCAATCTGAGGGTTTGGTAAGTCACAAATGCCAGAATACTAGAAAGAAGCGCAGATTCGTCATGGTCAGGGTTATTCACCGGTATGAATTTGAAGTAACTTGGACTAGTTCTTCCGAAGTTATAGTAAAACGACCATCTGCAACGAAAAAATCTGTCGCAAAGCGCCGAATCCAAGATTTAGACGTATGTTCTAGTCATCCGATCGAAACACTAATTGGAACACAGAAAATACTTTCAGGTGTGCTAGAAGCGATCGGCCTCAAGAACATTGTCGGCGCTCACTCGTGCGCTATCATGGAAGGCACATCATTGGCTTTGGGTGTACCTGTTCTTCCTAGCTTCATGCCAGGTGCGAATAAGCATGTAAAGAGCTGAAGGGCTGTTTTCATACACGTGTGAGATCTGAGAATTCTCGAGGAACAAACTTGTTAACATTGAGC